AGCGAAAGAATGTATCACGTTCCTCTGTGCCAATCTGAGTGTAATTACTGGTGGGATTCTTGCAAGAATGATAGCACGTGTGTGACCAATTGGCACACACATTTTAATTGGTCAACTGGTAAAAAAATAATGAGTTTGAATTTATATTTATGATTTAACTGAGTGATTTTTAGTGTGCTGTTAGCAATTTTCTGGGTTATATTTGTTATTCTTCCTAGGCCATTTAAACTCATTTTCTCGAGAACTCACTAGCTTTTTAGTACTTTATGTACCAAGAGATTTAGAATCACTGTCAAATGCAAACACAAGTTATGTTGTTTTTATTTCAAACTTTCTTGGAATGATAACAACTATTTCTGTGTAGAACAGGTTTTGACTAGATACAAAATAAACCAATGCTTGCATTTAAGAGTTACTGATGAATTATCCCAAATTAGACGTCAGTGAGACAGAACAGTTTGACATCGTACTTTTAAGAGCTCATAGTCCAAAAGTGAAATGTCACTATCAAAGACTGATCATTAGACAAATTACAATTTACTGTTTTAAGAGAACATTTTATCAGAAGATTAGAGTGAATGCACTTCATTTATTCTTTTGTATTTACAGAGTTCTTATCCCTGTTTTCACATATATTTGACGGTTATTAATAGATAAATGACATAACTGTACGTTTATCCTAGTTTGATACAGAGAAGTTTGAATTCCATCTCTAGGCAATGAATCTGTTAATATGAATACTTGTTGTTCATGGACTGAATGATTTGAAATGTTTCTCAGTCACTTCATATGTTTTAATGTACTTGCCTGTGGACCACATCTGTTGTATTCACAAAAGTTCTAGGCTTTTAATCCACAGTCTGATGGATCTAGCTACAACCCTGCCTTGAATACACTGTTATTGGGATTACAACCAAGTTAGAAAACGTTTTGGCTTTTTCATACTACAAAGGTTCTGTGAATTCAAATTATTTCTGACTGCTAGTTTTAAATACGTTGGTATTACCTTAATGTTGTTCTCAGTCTTCTGGGAAAGAATTACTGAAGACTCTGATTGATGCGGAGCAGATTCGTTGTTAACGATACAAAATGTTTCCGCTACTCATTTTCATTAAGACTCTGGATATCCTCACTCATTTCCGTTTGATTTTTGTCTTCTTTCGATCTTTATCCATTTAAGTTGAATCGGATTTCTTTTTTTACTTGTTTGTATCGTTAATCAAGGCGCGATACTTTGTGCAAAGTGACGTGTTGATAAGTTATTCAGGAATTGAATTGCTCACTTATGTGGAATGTAATCGCTCAAATAAATTTTGCCACAGATTTTGTATTATATGTATATGTAGTGAGATATATATATGTATAATACAGTACTATATATGTATATATAGTACTGTAATAACTTCACCTAGTTTCCTAGCTGGTACCAATCAAGGGTGAAGAGGAATGGTTCGGCGTGGGGATAGAGATCCTACCCTGAAAAATCGATCGAACTGGTCCAGAAACTTCAACGCACAAGAAAAATATTAAAAACATAAAAACAAACTTATTTTTCGCTGGAATCAGAGAGACAAAATGACGCGGGCTAGTGAAATCCTTCAGGGGACCAGTCAGCTGATGAGAGCAAACGTAAGGACGGGGACAGTATTAATAACAAGTACTGTATTGATACATATCTTAGAGTACTACCCGCCCAATAGGTCATTTGTAGATGGATGGAATTTCGAAATCGTGATACACTGATTGTTATGCATTTCAGGCAGTGTGCTATAGCTCATTCAAAGCGATTTCATGCAGCCTGGAATCTACGACCAAACAATGCAGTGACTATTTCAAAGAATAGTAAGTTGAACTATACTGAAAACAGATAAACAACAGCTTGCAAGCTTTTATTTTCAGGTTAGACAGTATACTTCTCAATATACCTTTTGTACAAATAACCCTATTACATTTATTTATTTGAATTGATTTTTAAGGAACAAACGTGTGTCCTCAATCGAGTTCTTGCAGTACTATTCAGTCAATATTCAAAGATGCAAAGACGTTTTGTGAATCAATATGGGATGATGGATTCAAGGTAGTACCGGACAACGAAAATTCTGGCTGCATGGTATTCAACGAGAGATCAGGAGTCTCTATCGTAGAGAACAACAGAATGGTAGCTCAAAGAAGGGCCAGGGAAATAATTGGTCTTCTGAATGGCACTTGTAGATCTTCAATAATGAACACATTATTACTTTTACCTTTGTTATTTGTAATGATCGGACACCTATAATCAACCTTCACCTGCACAACTGAGGTATGACTTGATCGTTATGGACATGGCAAAACAAATGAAGATTATTCAGGCACATTTTAATTTAATTTCAGAAATATTTTGTAAAATATAGCGGAGTATTTTTGACAAATGATAATAATGCTTTGTCTTTACCTGGAAATTATGACAATAAGAACCAATCTAGGGATAAAACCTATGTAGTGTAAATGAATAACTTATCTCGACTAAATATGGGAGCTGTTGTAAGTGAAAAGATACCTGAAACGAATGAAGTGTTAGTAAATGTCAAAGACAAACATCTGAAACGTCAGACACAAATCCTTGAGAACAATTTTAACTGACAAAAAGATGCAGTGAAGTCACCCCCCATTCAACTGACACCTAGTTCAAGAATTTGGTTTGCAGTGGTTAAATATAATAACAAATTTACTTATTTGGAAGAATACTTCACCTCTGACGGACTAGTTGTTGATCTTAGAGACAGTAGACGGACCATATGGAATTTACCAATTTAAATTTCCCCATTATGATAATAAAAGAACACCGATTAAACAAATACATGTTTTCCTGAACTGAAAATTCTTCATGGTAACTGTTGCGGCTTGCTTAGCAATCGTAGGAGTACAAACCTAGAGATCTATGTTGGTACCTTCTAAAGAATGGTGAAGGCTGAATTCTTTTACTCCATATCCATCAGTTGTGTCGATTTGCTACTCTTGACTGGTTTTGTATTTCATTTTCCCAACTATGTTGGTCAACTCTCGAGAAGACGACGGTGGGGTTGTTGAGACGTCCATCTCACATAACTATCACCAGAAACTGATTTACAAGTCAATGTTGAAATGTCTAGACTCCGAAGCTCGTACTTCAACTGTAGCTGAATTATACAACCGGTAGTGAATTTTAAAGTATTGCGGCCAAGAATCGTTTAGCTATTGTTTTTTCTGAGTTTCGATACTAGTTATTAAGTAGCTGTATTTGGCCGACCTATACCTTCTTATGGAAAATACCCCGCTTAAAGCTGCTGTCTGGCCCTTCATTTAGCAGGGAATCGTGAGACAATTTGGTAGTCTTTCTTTGTTTCATATATGAATCTGGTTTTTAGATGAGCCATATTAAACGATTTGTAGAGAACCGCAGGATTCTGATCTAGGATTTGTTAAATTGTATTCTCTCTGACTCTTGAAGCTATTCAGTATCCACGTTAGTTTGTCACTTTTTGCTCTACAAATGTGAGACGCAGCAAGCGAAAGCATAAAAAAGGTAACTAACACAGTGATTAGTCGTGAAATGTTAAGTAAGAAAGAAAAGTCCATCGATGAGCTTACAGAATTTCATCTATGAAAGGGGATGGGAAATGCTATATATCCCACTCAGTGGCCTTTCTCGACGAGCAATTTAAGTTGAATTGAGAATAGATTGACAAAGGCTCAAGAGTAGTAGAAATAAAACGTACCATTAGTTCATGGAATTACTGCTTGCTGGTCGGAGTAATATACACTATCTTGCTCAAATCCTCATGATACTTAGAAGTCAGTTATTGGAGAATTCTTTTAAAATGGTTCACTCCTTATCAGCCATATTCCGAACGCTTTGATTACCAGATTAAATTATGCTGACGCACACCCTTGTCCATTACATTTCTGTCTTCTACTTCGTTGTATGCTTTGTGGAATTGTAAATAATTGAACTGGCGCATACTTTTAGAAATTCCTACGCTAATTTGTCAGTCAATCTGAAAAAAGCTCATGAAACTACATATTATGTCCTGTACTTCACAGTGCTGAGTAGATTTGGAGTATATTATTTAAGATAAGCTATTCAGAAAATATTTGATGTCAGTAACTTTCAAACCCACGGCTAATTTTTTGGTATATACAAGTCACTTAAACAAAGCCATATGATACATCGAATTTCTGATCGATGAAAGAAAGAAACCAATGTTCAAAAACAATCACATTCTATTTTTAATTCTCTGTGGGTGACATCAATCCTGTCCCCTATAATGATTTGTTTCATTTGACGTTAAACTGATGATATTGCACAGAGTTTGTTCATCTATATGAGTACTAGTCCTACTTGTTGTATAATCTGTCCAACTACAAAATTTTTGATCTATTTTATTAGAGGATTTTCCAAACTATGAAAACATACACTACACTAAAGCGACGGGAGATGTGGCCTATTGAGTCTGGACAATCAACTTTCAGCCGATCGTCTAGAGGTTCAGATTTCACTCCACTTAATTCACCCTAGGTGGTATCATCACCCCCTCACATACAATAACTGGGGTTCATAACCCAAGTAACTTGGTTCTTCTACCTAACTAACACTGAAGCGAATAAGTACAAAAAGAAGTTACTATAAAATTAGAAATGAACTGTGTTGATGTTGCTGACTTCCACTCACTTATATGTGTTAAAGTAACAACAACAATACCAACAACAAAAGAAACAGTGAGGAGTTAAAGTCAAGTCAACAAGAAAAAAATAATAAATCACAGTCTTAAATACTAGATTAATGAGGAAGCAAAAATAAGACAAAAAAGTATAAATCTGGTGATTTTGTTTGCGTAAAGGGTTACATCAAAGGACTTTTAATTGTACACCAAAATCACAAAGAATTTTACGAAAAAACTTTATTCAATATTAGATATTGTCCAAAAAAATATCGACCATTCAAACAAAATAGCATCAGTTCATATTGTGAAACTTCAATGAGGTTAATGATAATAATTAGGGTGACCAAAAGATGGTGGCTGTAAAAGTCCATGAGGTGGTGGTGGAGGTAATGGTGGCATTTGGAAAGACGGTACAGTCGTTGCTGCAGCATATGCTGTTGATTGTAAATTTGTACCTCCCAAACCAGAAATATTCGTGCAAGGAGTGTATGTTGTATCACAAATACTAGAGGCTACCAGTTGCCCTGAGGATGTTGGATGATATACTATTTCAGTTGTTGGCACTACTGCAGGATATTGCATTGCAGTTGGATTAAAACTGAGATTAGGAGGAGTAGTAGCAGGTGGATAGACCATTGAAGTTGGTTTATGATGAGCATAGGTTGGAACACTCGGATACTGTCGACGTACTTGAGTTGAATTGCCACTTTTATTCGAGGATTCTAGAGAAAAGGAAAAGAAAAATGAATTCACCGTAAGCTCTGTTTTACTCAGTTAGTCTGACAGAAAAATAGGAAGTTTTGATTGTGTGAAAGAACAGGAGACCGGCTTATAATTATGCCCAAGTAAATTTGTCCAAACGAAGGGTAGGTATATCGAATATAAATTCATCTATCATGGAATTTCTCATACTATAAGCAGAGACACACATTTTGTAGTTCAACAAACAGTGAGGAAGGTAAAATAAAAGAATGCAACACCAAGTGTAAAGTGTGAGGATGAAGGATCACATTAAACCAAATAAATGCCCTAAGAATAAATGACTGGAGAGTCTCATTGAACAGAAGGAACAACAAGATCTCAAGCAGTCAGAAGATAAAAATTAGTTGATTAAAACTGCCGTTACTGGTTAACCCATCAGTTTGCTCCATTTTTCTATGGTTGTGGAAAATGGCCGTTGAAATTAGGAAATTTGAAGAGGCTGGCCATCTTTGACCAAAGGTGTTTGCGTCCCACCTCTCTGTGAATAAAACAATCAAAGAGCCAGGACACCCATAACGTGAAATGAATATATATATATATATACAAAGAAACACTGACTCACCTGGAGGATTACAACTGTACGCTTGGGGAGCGGAATACTTTTGAGTTGAATTATCAATTGTTGATAGCAAATCTGTAGAGAGATACTGATGTCCGACTGATGGTTGGAAGTAAGAACTGCTAGTACCCTCATTAACAGCTACGGTAGTAGTATCGGCAGCAGCAGTGGTGGTGGTGACTGGGGATGGCAAGAAATATGATGATGATATTTGTGCTGGATTCTTAGCAATACATGAAGGACTATCAGTGGTGATAGTTTCCGAAACACTTGTCCACATTGCAGCATTAATTTGATTGAAGGTATTCAACGGTGCTGTATGATCAAACTGTGAAGGCGAAGGCATTTCATCAGGATTTATATTTCTACATACAGCTGATGCAGCAACCGAATGAACAGGAGGCGATGACCGCGTAGAAGCAGGAGGAGGGGGCGGGGGTGGAGGGGACAATGCTCCTACACGAATTGTATTTTGAGGGATACTCTTCTGACCTGGCATTATAGGCATTATACCCTGTTCAGAATAGGCTTCGGTTAGTATGAATAATACAGTATCTATTGAATCCCAGTAAGCTGCATGACTTGTCAGTGCAAAAAGATATTCATTGAAACTTTCTAATGGAGCCTCCTATTGTATGTAGAGGAAGAAAAATTCAAAAGTTGGTGTACTACCTAGGGCACGGAATACCATAAACTCAAAGGCGAAATATTTCACATGTGTGACACGTTTTCCTGTTATGCCTCTAACGTATTTAGTAAGCAAAATTAGACGACAGACCTTTATTTGGAGTAAATAAGAATAATTTAAGTAAAACAAAATACATTTATAAACGAAATGTTAGAATCCTGAACAAGCTCTTCACTTTAAAATATTGCAAGAATAACTCCCACTTCCAAATTCATTCAAATAAATATCGGTTAGATTCAGCAGACAGAGTTACGAGTTTTCTTCCCGTTTTAACTTCATCATTACCTGAATGAACACCAACTGAGCATCTCAGAGTCTATTCTACTTAACCCTAACACACTTCAGCGACTCAGGGATTGACTTGCTACCAGAGAATAATCTCGTCGACTTAGAATAAGCGGACGATATAGTCCTTCTAGGCGAGGACGCTGACAAAATGCAGAGTCTACTGAAGACCTTGAGCAACAATCTTCGTATCTTTGGCATGCGATTTGCCCCTGTAAAATGTAAGATGATGCTGCAGGATTGGACTTCACCGACCCCTAGATTAGAAATAGGAAATGAAGTGGTAGAGCACGTTGACCGCTTCACATACTTGAGAAGTACCATCAGCCCCAACGGGTTGATCTCCAACGAAATCTCAGCACGAATACAGAGGGCTAGTTTACGCCGTCTCTGGCGTAGACGTGATATCCGACTATCGACCAAAGGGCGTGTGTACTGCTCAAAAGTTCGCTCCGTCCTCCTTTATGGCTGTGAGACCTGGCCATTGAGAGCAGAAGACATGAAAAGATTAGCTGTCTTCGATCATAGGTGTCTGCGTTCTATCTCCCATGTGAAGTGGTATGATAAGGTGAGCAATATTGAGGTTAGGTGTCGAGTGCTAGGTAAGGCGGGGAAATCAATAGACGAGACTGTGAAATTACATCGGCTGAGATGGTTAGGACATGTGTTACGTATGCCTAGTCATCACCTTCCTCGACGGGCAATGTTAGCTGATATAGGGCCAGGCTGGAAAAGAGCTAGAGGCGGTCAAACGAAAACATGGCACCAGTCAATGAAATCTACTATAGTTAGTTTAAGCCACGTAGGAAGGTGTAGACTTCCTGGTTGGGGTCGTCGGGGCGGTAAAAACCAATGGTTGGAAACAATTGGTGACATGGCTCAAAATCGTTCTCAGTGGCGCAGATGCATCCACTCCTTGTGACTTATGATTTCCAATGAAACTGTTTTGTTCTTCGTTACTACTATTCCTTTGTCTCACACCTCTGTCTACTGTCTCTAATATGCATTTCGCCTACTTTCTTCTCTTCATTTGTGTGCTACATGGAGTGTGGCGACTTGAACTGCCGCACGTCGGTGCAAAGTTCTATGTCGAAAACCAACCGATTCTACTGGATAACTGTTTTATTGTATTGTGTTCTGAAGACGATAAAATTTCGGCTTAATGGTGCTCACCAGTTTAAATATTAAAGTAGCTACTGAACTGCCTGGAACATGCTCTAAAACAAGCATACACAAACTACTTGAACATATCATGCCAACAATATTGTTACATAAGGTGAAAACTGAAGAACTTTTAGACCAACAAACAGCGCTCAACGAATTTATTGAACAATGGTAGTGTAGCCTGTGTACAAAAGTGAACAAAGGATCTGTAAACACAAAAATCGACTTCTCGAGGATATACCTGAAATGAATTAGAATCAACCAAACTTATATCTATCTGTCTGTAATACACTAGACGACATATTACAAAGTACATTGCAAAAAGAAAAAGAGAATTATTCCCAAACAATTATTACATTACATATACAAGTGCAGTATTAAACACACCTGCAAGACATAATCCATACGTCTGCCTTGATTAAGTTGACTATTAAAAGTTACATCTTGATCAATTAAATTACGATAAGTAGTTGAGCCATCTTCACAAGCACCTGAATCTTCTGACTCACCATCAACTTCATCACCAACACCACTGCGTAGACTATCACCATATGCAGTAGACGACTCAGATCTAGGCGGGTAACAATCACCAGTTGACGATTCACTTGATGTACCAATAAATCTGTAATATATATACACAAAAGGTAGATATGAAAAAGAAGTAACCACTTTTTACGAGTTCCTATTTAACGACTAATAATATTGATGCTGATAAAGCTCAGGGTGTTCTGCGTCTCCTGAACAAAACTCCAAGTACTATGACATGCATTCTCCCTCACCTGTTATGTGTTATATCATTTATAATGAAGAAGGCGTATTCACTCTTCAACGTCGTCAAATTATTCAGAATTCTTACTTTTGTTGAATTGTTCCATCCGTTTACAATATTATTTTCATTTAATAACATACCATCCTCAGTTTATTCCCTTTGTCATTTTGTAGACTTGTAAACTGTAACACCTTAAATTGAGTTACATCACCAATAATCTCTAGCCATTGATTTTAACGTCTCGACCACCCTAGCCTAGGAGTTTATACTTTACTATGCTGATCACACCAACAGACAAATACCTTATGGATCAGATTGTGAACTTGCGACGACTGAGTAATGCGTCATGCATGCCAAGTCATCGCCTTCCCCGTCGAGCAATGGTAGCTGGTATAGAATTAAGTTATTTAGTCAAATCAAAACTTTGCACCAATACATGAAGTCTTCAGCTGTTGGTTTGAGCCGACCACGAAGAATGCTTGGTTTCGGTCCTCGAGACGCTAAGAATTAATGGCTAGAGAATGTTAGTGATATGATTCAAAATCGTTTGTGATGGTGCAGATGTAACGTCCCATATTCATTAAGTCGCCATATTTTTCCATGTTAATATTCTTTCTCCCGTACATTCCTCCTAATTATAGTCCCTTTGAATTTTTGTGTGCTATATAGAGTGTGAGAACTTAAACTGCTGCACTTATGTGCAAAGTTTTACGTTGAAAAGTCAGTCCACATAATAAAGTTTAAAAAGGCTGCTTATACTAAGAAAAATTAAACTTAACATATTGTGTATAAGAACCGACAGTATGAGTGGATATTGGTTGAAAATCAAGTTTGTTTCCTAGATAGCAAATTCACTGTTTTCAAATACTTAGACCTTATTGGCACTGAATATGCAGACCAACTACTGATATTTATTTTTGGAAACAGTAATTTCGTTGTTTCTAATAGTCGATTTTGTCTTTTGTACCGTTGAAAAAGCCAAAGGTTTATACAACACATTAGAAAATGACGATCATGATCATGATCTTCCTTCCTTCCTTTCACCAAAAACCACACCTACACCTTGAAATACACTCGACATTTTGCTATGAACAGGATCGGTTTTCAAGCTTATACTTATAGGACGACACGAAACGTACTAGATCACAAGGAGATGTATAATACCAGTAATTAAACAACACCAGCAATAACAAGGGGATGAGCAAATTTATTACAAACTATTACAGAATTTTACTATTCTAAAAATTGTAATTACTTACCTATGAGCTAAAGCAAATTCATGTAGACTACGCCAAGTTGACTGAACTGAATTGTACAGCTTACTTTTTAACTCGGAACCGACCCAGGCTAAATTATCTTTCAACTGTAAGTGTATACGTTTACGACCTTTATGATGAGGGATGAGAATAGCTTTTTGCTGAAGAGAAAAGAAATTAACAAACAAATATGTTCCATGGTATGAAGTCACAAAAAGAACAAATTTAAAAGATGTTATTCAGTCACAACCAAATGTAAAAGTAGAGTATGCTTAACCCAATGAGCCATATCTCTCCAGTTCATCTTTTACAACTAACTGTTTAAATAGTATCGTCATCTCTCACACGTTAACTGTGGCTTTCATAAACACAAAGGCGAAAAAAACCGATACTGTCTACGAGATGAATTGTAACAAGTATGAAAAACATACTGGTCAAAGTGGCCATACACTTTGTCTTCGCATCATGAAAATAAACTACCTGTCAAAAGATATGATAACCATTACCTCATATCAATCTATGCAGAAAACTATTACGCACATCAATTCAACTGGAAAAATGTACAAATCTTAGACAAAGGAGACATTATGAATGCAAAAGAATTCCTAAAATCCTGGCACTCAAACCTATCTGGAATCAACACACACACAGATTTAAATTTCATCTATCAAACAATTGAAAATGTTACAGGTACAAATATTAGGCCAACAGAAAAATAGTTAATGTCGATACGGATGAACAAGAGTGTAAGAAAATCTCCACGAAAAACTAATCACATTCAAGGTGGTCGTAAGAGCCAGTTATTATAATCATGAAGAATTGTAAAAGCTCACTTCCTATTGAAGTTAGAGCTGAAAATGTTGTCTAGGAAGACAAAGAGAACTTTTCAATTAAACCATGCAGTTCAGGGAAGACAAAAATACTCGTAGCATTTGTCGAAGCACATATACACATACTGACTGCATAAACAACTAGAATAATAATAACAATATAAACTTACTTGGAACTCTGAATCAATTAACATTTCCATCCGATAAGCAACTGGGTCGAATGGATGAAATATATTATAGAATGTTGAACATGTAGGTAGACGAAATTCTCTACTCAATGTTCTTATCCCACGTGCAGTTAAAAACAATGGTATCGGTGAACCAAGTGTATACAAACCAGAAATATTAAAGCCTAATTGTGGATAATTCGGTAAAGCAATACCAAATCCAGCTGTAACATAATTCGCATTACTATTATTATTATTGGCTTGGCTTAAACAGAAACGATGATTCTCTAACCAAAATGATGTCAGTGTTGAGTGTGATGTAATAGCACCGACATCAGTTATATCTGTCGTTGATAAATGACAAGCTGGATCATTTGATGATGTAATTGTAGATGAATTCTCATCTGTTGTTGTTGTTGTTATTGTTGTTTTATTCTTATTAGCTTTATCCAATTTGATCAATGAATGTATAATATTGTGTATTTGGTCAACATTTAATCCATTCTGTAGTAATAACTGACTCAGATGACTGAGATTATTATTATCAGCATTATTTGATGATAAATTTAACATTGAATCCAACTGGCATTTAACAGAATCAATGTCACTGTTTGTCTTTCTTTTAGTATGACCTTTGTTATTATTATTATTTTGATTATAGTCAACTATAGACCATCCATCCATATCATTTTGACCAGATGTACTGCTATGTTCACTTTTATTCTCTTCATTTATCGGTGTATTTAATGAGAAGGTATTATCATCTTTCACTGGACAAGTTGACGACATTGAGAAGACAGCTGTAGAATTGTTAAAATTGCTTGAATTCTTACTACTGTTACTGGAAGTAACGAAAATATTTGTAGTTTTAGTACTACTACTACTACTACTAGTGCTGGCAGTAGTAGTATATGTTGTTCCAGAGGTGGATGAAGTTATACCTGTTGTCAGGTTGGCTTTTACTAACACATCACTAAGTAATTCGTCAACATAATCTACTTCACCCATTGTTGTAGACTGTGTATCGGTGCTATGTGTAGTGACAACATTACTATCCACAGTACTATCGTATGTTTCAGATAATGAAATTGATGATAATTGCCCGGCTGTTGCAGTACAGGATGGATTGTAAATATTTTGATGACATAATAAATCGAATGATATAACAGCACCTAAACTATGACCAATAATAGATATATTACCCTGAATACAAAAAAAAGTACAACACAAAAGGTTAGGATAGAGCATTTTCATTTGCTGATATTAAGTAATAGATAAATGACACTTAATCTACTGTTCATCAGTCACTGACCAGAGGTTAGTGATGTTCGGATGTTACCCTAAAAAGTCAGGACAAGTGGAGTCCACCAAGTCAGTTATGAGGAAGAATACATAGGCCCACAGTATTGCTGTAAGTCGCGAATTGGTAGGAGTCCGAATTTGTAGGATAGTAAATGGACTTGTATCCCAATGGATCAATGATCAACGGGCTCACCAAGTAACCTGAAGGTCCTGAGTTTGAGATATCAGGCGGAGTCATGAGTGGGTACTGTCTAATAGTCTCAAACAGTGACGAAAGAGCCACCCAGCACTCCATGGTTTCCAACAGTTTCATATCTGGTGAAAGTTCATGTGATCTAACTTTAAATCAATCAGGTTAATGTAAACCAAAACTTAGAAACACATGTTTAATGCCATTACCAGTGAAACTTTCTCAAGGAGTCAAGTTAGAGGGTATGTTTAACTCGAACAGAATAATGAGATGTCAACAATCACACTGTAAGTTAAAAAGCGCTACTTTCTTAACAACAGTTTTGTAACAGGCTTATCCAATATGCTATAGGGAATATATCTTACTTGGAAGAATAAAAGTTAAAAGTATTAAGCCTGTCACAATATTATCGTTCCTCTAAATTTTATCCGGTTGGTAAAGATCACATATGTATGCCAACTTTGATACATGTTGTCAAAAAAAATGTTTCTTATTCTAACGATTTTCATTGGTGATCATATACATTAAACTTCCAATGATGATAATGCACCGTTGAAATACAGCACCTACTCTAATACTACAAATTGTAAACTACATTCTTGTGACCTGCTTTACAGTATAAATCATCTTGAATTGAATAGTTTACAAAATACAACTTTAGAATTCCCCGTTGAGTGATATATGGCAGTAATATTAGTGGGAACATGAGATTTTTTCCTGAGGATTGGACTTTCATACGATTACCAACTACACCATGTATGGTTTTCACTGCTAACATTTATAATACTAAATGTCTGTCAACATTGAATATAATATAGCATAGATACATGTATGCGAGTTATTTCCGCAGTCATTATTATAATAATTATTATTATGCAATAACAAACTGTAAACAAAAAGCAACATAAACACTGATTTACCGAGAATTTCGGGTTACGCAACAGAAACAGATTACGTAATCGTGTAATCTCTCTTGCCACTGTATTAACAATCAGCTGCGAGTATTTAGAGCTTGTGTAAAACAATATATCCATCAGTGTATCATTTGTAAACTGTCGTAGTTTCGGTATACTACCCAATGTGATTTGTTCCAACTGTTTATCTAACCCAGTAACAGTATCTGAGTGTAATTCATCATGCCACAGAATAGGCAAAAATTCTACACGATATGGATGATGTGGGAAGTGTGATTGACTCAACTGTTTTGCTGTACGCCTGAAGAGATGAATACATAATGGGGGAGGGGCATAAAAAAGGAAGAAAAACTTCAGCATCACTATCACATAACGAAAAAAGTAACTTAGAGAGTAATGATAAACGAAACTAAAATAAAGGATAACAATCTGTGACTGAAGGAGGGAGGGGGATGAAATTCATAGAACTAAACCATCCACCAGAGCTACAAATCTTTATCTCCATGATTTCAAACTACGCTATACATTTTACATAACATTTTTAATAAATACTGTGAAGAAGCCGTAGCTATCACAAAAAGGCGCAGGTTAACTGTACAGTGTTAAATAAATTGCACAGCTTCATTGACCCACTGATTGAATTGCATTGTATATATAAAAGTTTGTTCTCTACCACCCAAACATACTCGAACCGAACATAATCCCAACGTGCAGTATGACGACTGAAGTAGGAGTGAGTGATCAAAAATTAAGCTATAATATCAATCTGGCTGAAAACCGTTACTGGAAAAATTACAATGTTATAGCTTTGACGGTACTTGGCAGAAAGAACAACAAGGAACTCTAGCAGTCAACAAGCCAGTAAATATGCGGAAGGAATTGGAGATGGATTGGCGGTTGAGTGACACTACGTTCCCGGCCCCCAAGTTGAACCCGAATGGAAAGCGACGAGTTGGGCGTCCGAGGGTAATACATACAAGAGATCATGCTAAGAAGGGGTCAGATCTTATAGGCAGTCAGTCATGAAGCCAGGTTAAGGACCGGTGTGTCATAGACATGTGCTGCTGAAGCTCTATGTTTCACTAACAACCCAATGAAGGAATAACACTATAATAAGAGCTTAGATGCATCCATACTATATCTTCATTCTAACTATAATATCATGTAATACAATCCACTTTACTTTTTCTTCATATGTCATCTGGTATTTTCAAAAAACCTCTCTTAGCAGGAAGAGTGACAACATTATTTTGTGCACATAACTCACCGGTAAGTTAGTCACCGAAACATATGTAGGTATAAGAACATATCTACATGAACAAATTACAAAAAGCGCGGTTCCACAGGAGGTTTAACCGATGTGAAGGACATCACTTATTAATCCCAAGGTATCCCGCTTTCACGGTAATGTGCCACGATTCAAGCAATTGATTTCATTTCCGTAATACGACTACATACATCACTATCTATTGGCTCTTTCATCCTGCATATTGACGCCAGAGCAAATAGAATAGTAGGGACTGTGATGTTATAGGTAACCCATGACGAAAGGTGGGGAACCGCTAACGTCAGTAGGAAACTAGACAAATACCACGTCTGCTATATTGCCAAAACCAGAAGGGAAATGCCATTACTTTACTCAAATTTGACACTTGTTTATTCACAGGTTTTTTGTGCAAAAACCAGAAATTAATACGCAGTATGTTAAACAATTTAATGATAAGAATAAGAGAATGAAAGAGATCTTTTTCTAAATGAAAATTAACTACGCACTCAGAATTGAGCGAAAAAAATACTAGACAAATGTTTCAGAAGGTCACTGGCACGCAAACACAAACGCACAAAGTCGCATTCCATAACCTAATAAGCAAGTCAAATCAATGATTTTCAGTCACTTTAATAAGCTCATAACAAGCGTATATATATATATATATATATATATATATATATATATATATATAACCATCTTTGTATAAATAATCACAACGTTAGTAACTGGTCTTTATGTTTTTGCTATCATTTGATGTTCATGCCATGCAGAGTGAAGCAACCAAAATTAAAATATGAATCCTTATGTGCTGAAATTTTTTCGCTTGATTTACTACACACATGACCCAAGTACTTTTTCCTTCCGGCTAAACATTAGTGAATTTCCACGTCTTACGCCTAATTACTAGTTTCAGGAGTCTTAACCATTTAGACACAAACGTGGTGCAATATGGGCATCATGTACATAAATGAAGCAAAAAATTGTGTGAGTGACTTGATATGATTATGAGCAATAATTTGTTCTCGAAACGTTATCAGTTAATATTACTGCACAACACTGTGTGATTTATCAAAATAAATCTTATCCATAATGGAGTTACACTTTATCACAGTGCCCAAGTTTTATACTCATTTTGTAACAACAGAAGACAACGGCCAGGCAACAGATCGTTTATTAAGGAAAATCAACACATATTTATAGATTTTAATGTACATTATTGTAGATTATTGTTAGTAGAAAATACAGTCTTTTGATTGGTTGTTTCTCACAGAAAGTTAACCTTGCATCTCTTTGTGGCTGTGTCAGATCATTCATATGCTAACTGTGTCCGCCTACGCAAAGCCTTTGTTCTTATTTTCTCACGACCAATATTGGGGACATAAACATTGACGTCAATTACTGTCTACCAACTTTGGCTAGCAGCCAGCTCTCACCACAATATCAATAAAGGCATCCAGAGATGTGCCACACTGTAAGAGATGAGATGCCGCCAAAATAGGTGGTTTTTTTTAGGGGTTGGCTCTCCAAACCTTTCGCTTGAAGTCTGACTCACAAAGCAGCAGAGTAGTGTCAAAAACTGCATTCCAATGGTTGCCACCAACCAAAATAGGTTCATACACTAATGGTTCTTTTCAGGTTCTGGAGCCCATGTACATTATGTGTTACGAATAAAGGTTTCCCAACTCCATTGAATGGACATGCATGCCTACCAGTTTGGAAATAAGCACTGGACAATCAAACTCACCGTTCCATTTTTGTGAGTGACATCATTCAACTAAACTTACCTAGAGAAAACTATGAACGCGTGGCCACACAGGAGAATTTCGAGGGCAAGACAGAAGTCTATTGATCCTCGGCCATACCAGGTCGTTCAAGCGGAAAGAGGGACAAGGAAACCTAAAGTGAGCAGCACACGCTTAGTGCAGTTATGTTAAAAATTATGACTGTGCACGTAATTAAGACTATCAGTGTGCATAAAGAACCTAACAAATTATCCATATCCGCTCCCTATTCTTACAATTCTTATGTAAAATAAAGTAAAAATATATCTACCATAATTTTTCCTGTTACCCATTAATACATATATCCTTTTATACTTACCTCATATCATTGACACATTCAATTAAACCTTGTCCTTTTACATTGTACATTGAACCAATACCATGTACAATAAAAAATAATTGATCAATTGGCTTATAATCACCTTCATCAATCTGCTCCATTAAGTGTTCAGTTAAACCCCGATGTATGTGACAAAGACGGCCTTCAAATACTTGACCGGTTAAATTCACCTCTTGTGATAACTGACTTTGATTTAATTGAATTAAGGGTGAAGAAGAGCTGGCGACAACACGACTCTCTGAATTAGTTGAAGTAAAGTCATAAGGCCATGCTAAGTACTGTATCATTGACTGATAGAAAAGCGGTTGACACAAAGAAAGAAAAGTAAAACAAATTACCCCAACAGAGTTTTAGCGTTTTTCAAAATAGTATATTAAATGAGAAGCCACAAGCAAAATCAGATATTATCGTCAAATGATGACAGACGGATACAAAACAGCTGCACTATTGCCCCTGGAATATCAATCTAGCGCTTAATACATTGGACTAAGATAACCAATTGATTGGGAGCTTGGATGGATAACCATATTCTGATGTAACTGACACTTCTGTTTCCAATTTATTCGTCACCTCAGGTCTGTTAAATCAAGACTGAAAAAATTTCATATAGGTGAAAATACGACAGAGAATTTTGAGGAATGGACTATCCTGATAATTGAGAAAAACATTTTTCCGATTGAGCTACGAACTAATTTCTCCAGTCAAGAATAAGCAGCACATATATGAAGGATGAACTGGCACTTTGGACCACTTTGATGCATGTTCATTATTTGCTTACCCCTGTTCAGCTAGTTATACTGACCGCGCAAAGAGCACACTTTCCAAACGCATCTCTGGAAATTACCCGGTACGTTCATCAAGAGGACAATGCAAGTTAATTGCTAGCTCGATTCCCGAACACCTCCTAAAACCAGGCCACACAGCGCCACTGAAGACCTATTATGAAATAATCTACAAAGTAAGCCAAAATGCTACAAGGGGTGTTAGGTTCCGACAATTTTGTTTCGAGGAAAGTGGTATTGATCCGTTAACACAACGTCCAAATCTGTATTCAGAAAAAGTTTGTACAGTCTCTAATTTTACTATGACCCTAAACTTTTTTCTATTTGGTTACAGGATTTCATCATGAGCTGACATCAGTTAGAGAACCATTTGAAAACCTAGGAGTACTGGACAGCTGTTTCGTCCTAGTTCGGGACCGTTCAGCAGTACGCACCCACCGGGGTTCGAACCCAGGACCTTCTGGTTACAAGGCGAGCTCGCAGACCCTTGAGCCACTGGGACCCGATTCAACGGCTTATGAATTCTAACTTCTACCAATTCACGATGTAGTGCAACTGCTAGCCAATGTCTTCGGCAATTATTTGTCCTCACACCCAACCTGCTGCACCCTACTGGTCACGACTTCCCACCAGAACCCCAGGTAACTACCTACCTGAATAGGACCAGTCGCCAGTGAGCATCTCATTGATATTCAAGTATTCGTTTGTAGGGATTTGGTTGATTGGTTACAGGATTTCTTTTAGTAAGTCAATATTATCACTTTTGCAAGTGCCTGTGACACATTTTACTAATTACTTATTATCAGTTAAATCACACTCCTCCCCCTACTACTCAGTAAATAGACTCCTATGCGTCTACATAAATAAAAGTACGATTGTACAGCTTTTGAAGATCAATTCTTCGATAAAGAACTATTTCTTTGTCCATTCATTCCGTATGACTCAATGAATACTGTCAGTCTTCCTTTCATCAAATCAAAAATGGCTTAAATATCTTCACTAACAAAAAATGAAAACACATTTGTATGCAATACTAAATGTTACATTTATAGCCACTGCATAATTACGAAATTCACCTACGGTAACACACAAATTGCTAGTGAACAACAGTTTCACAGATACTACTGCAATCAAACTTTAAATGATATTCTCGGAAGTATTTCTTCGAAATCATGATTATCCCCAAATAAATCAGAGTGGACCTACAACAACACTTGACAAACCAGAATCATTTCCTGAGCTTACAATTCAATCTGAAAAATGATTGCATAGGAGGCGATAAATACGACATTCTCCTTTGACACTGTAGACTTAAAAGAAAAAGAAAGGATTCCCTCCACTTAAACATTAAAAAGCCTAGATTTCAAGTCTTTTTTGTTTTGAGTGAACCGATACTCATTTCAGATGTGACTTGATGATACTAGTTGGACTTTGACCAATTGCAAACATAGCAATAAATAAATAGACGTTCGTGAAAATAACCTAACCTTTCATTGCGATAATAACTGGAAAGTTAAATATTACTTAGAACGCTATTTCAGTAGGAAAACTATTTTACTAAATAAACGATGTCCATATATGATATAAGCTTAACACTTATTGCAATTTGTTCGTTGGGCGGACAATAGATTGAGAAGGTTCAAACTAACAGCTGAATGGTTGTAAGTCAAAAAACATACTTGGACTAATTAGTTGGAGGCGCAACACAGACTGATAGATAAAATATACGAAATCTAACGAATTTATCAAAAGAAAAGGCTCCAGACAATGAATAGCTTCTGTATAAACACACACTATTTCGATAAAGTGTGTCGGTGGCGCAGAGGTAAAATGCTCACCAATCACGCACGTGGTCGGGTTTCGATCTCTGGCTGACACACTCAACCTAGCCTAGTTAACTAGCTTGCTAGTTTTTAGCCGGTCCTAAACCCGGGTAAAAAGACGGGGGTTGGGCGTGGGGCTAGAAACTCTACACCACAAAAGCTATCAAACTGCTAGAGAAACTTCAACGCAAAAAAATTATATAAAAAATACAAAAATTCAAATATAATCTTATAAATCGCTGGAAATGGAGAGGCGAAATGACACAGCGGAATGGTGAAAGCCTTCGGGAAGCTAGTCAGCCAGCCGATGTCTCCTCTCGATAAAAACAAAAATAAAAAAGGGGACGTGGAATGTACGTACAATGTACGAGACTAGGAAGGCTACCCAGATAGACAAAGAAATGCAAGTGCTGTGTGTCTGAGAGAGCAGATGGAACCGATGTCGATTATTAAATTGTCAACTGGAGAGTCAGTAATCTACTCCGGTCACCTAAAAGACAACCACGAGCACACTCAGGCAGTGAGTGGCTGTCATGATGTCACCAGTGTTAACCGACGTCCTAATGCAGTGGTAACCGAGCCCCTCTTCCAGGATTATGACAGCAAGATTCAACTCCGAAGGAAAGAAGGAAGGAAGGTTACAACTATCCAATGCTACGCACAGTGCTACAAACAAAACGGAACAAGAGAAGAAGGAAGATTTCTACAGAAAACTACAAACAGTAATGGACAACATTCGGAATGGCGATATTAAAATACTTATGGGCGGTATGGACGCAAGCCAAACTGGGGGCTGAAAAAACAGGAAGACAACTCATCATGGGTCAAGAGGCTCTTTCTCGGCAAAATGAATGAGAATGGAGAAATATTCGCAGACTTCTGAGCTTTCACTGATCTGGCGATCAGATGCAGCGTGTAAAAGCACAATGATTTACACAAAGCAACATGGATTTCGTCTGACGGACAAACCAAACAGACTTCATCTTAATGCTGCTCAAGAAGTGGAGACGCAGCTAGCCTGGTAGATACAAAGTCAAGAAGGGGAGGAGATGTGGGCTTAGACCATCATCTAGTTCAAGGAACCTTCAAGGTGAAGCTGAAATCCCTCAAAACAACTGGAAAAAGGCTACAATTCAAGCCCAACACTCAGAAACTGAAGGACAAAACCATAAGGGATGCCTTTGCTACACATCAAATCAGAGACATGACAGTGTCAGTGAGGAAACCTGAGTGGAAGAAAATTGAAAATAATTCTCCAAAGGTGGTGTTCAAGCAAAAATAGACAACTATCCGAGGAAGAAAGAAGAGATAAGAAATGGAATGGCTCTCAAAGGACACCCACCTGGAAGCTAATAGAAGAGAGGAGGGTGAAAGACAAGATGACTCAATGCAAAGGTGGACAAAAGGAGGAGAAGCTGAGTTCAATGCATACTGCACTGAATAAGGAAGTGAAGAAGAGTGCTAGGAGAGACAAAAGACAATTCTGCGACATACTGACCGGCAACTGAAGGAAAAGAGGCGGGCCGCAGGTACAGAGACCTAAGGACATTTTATTACATAACCAAGTCTCTATCCGGAAAGAGATCAACCCAAATGATGAAACCTAAGAAAGATGTTCTAGGGAACTTGATTAACAAGAAGGAGAAACAAACAGGACAATGGGCTGATCACTTCGAAGGACTATTGAATCAACCATCACCTGCATCCACTATCGTCAAGAGATACTACCAACACCAGACAGCACGCACACAACTGTCTGCCAGTTGACACTAATCCACCAACAAAGCAGGGCCAGACGGAATTCCCATACCCTGAAATACTGAGAACGGACTAACAGAGTGCGGCAGATGTTCTCACAGTATTAATGCAAAGGGTTTGGAAAGAAGGAAAAATACCTACCGATTGAAAGAGAGGTTGGCTACCTTGTCAAGCTACCAAACAATGGAGACTTAGGACTCAAGCTGCAAGAACTGGTGTGGAATGAGGATCTTCTCTACGTCAAGTAAGATACTATGTAGTGTCATCCTGGAGAGAATAAAAGATGTCCTGGATGCAGAACTCCACCACTCAATGGAACAAGCTAAATTCCGGAAAGGCAAATCATAGGCTGATCAAATTGCATCTCTACGCATCGTGACCACAAAACAAAGCATAGAATGGCAGTCGAAACTCTACCTCAAATTCATCTACTTCTACAGGGCCTTCGACAGACAGTGTTGACCGAGAAGTAATTTGGAAACTACTTCAACACTACGGCGTGCAGTGCACAAATCTTTATCAACTCCATTCATCAGCTGGCTATATGACAATGCCAAGTGTCAGTCAGCTGATCCACAGCGGAAAACCCACTCAGTCAGGCGTTTGAAGTGAATGCAGGAGTAAGAGTACCTGACTGCCTATTATCACCGGTGATATTCTTAATTGTGGTGGACCAGATTATGCGTCAGAATGTGCAACGAGAGTGAGAAGACAGGAATACTTTGGACCGCCAATAAGAAGACTCTACAAGATCTGGTTTCCACGCGTGTATGATTCATGTTTAACGTCACGTAAACTCGAAGACTTGCAGGTGGAAAGTAACAAATTGGCTGAAGAAGCAGGCGGCGAAGACAGGACGCCAGGTGGACATAGAAAAGACGGAGGTGGTCGAGGTAAGCAAACAACAGCACTAACAGCAACAACGACCAGCACCAATCACCATCAACGGGAGAGATTTGACAGAGGTTACTCTCTCCCTCACTTATCCAGCTAGGAAGCCCAGTTTCGACCACAGACACACTGAACGGATGAAGATACCAAAACCAGCCAGAATCGGAATGGCAAGATGCGCCTTCATCAATCTGAAACCAGTTTGGAAATCTTCTGCACTCTGCCTCAGCTTAGAGAACAAGATTCGGATTCTCACCACCAATGTGAAAAGTCAGTCAGTCAGTCAGTTCTTCTATTCTGCTCAGAAAATTGCACTGCGTGTCATGAAAAGCATTTCCAACAGCCAGTTGCAGACTCTTATCAACAGCTGCCACCGTCGCTGGCTCCATACTGAACATCAGATGGCTGATCAGCCAGGAAGAATTAGCAACAAGAAACTCTGGCTGGGAACAAACCAACCAATAGCCGATTGTACAACAAATATGTAGGAGAAAATGGAGGTGGATCAGGCATACACCACTGAGGAGGCCATCGAATAACATCGCGCCCAATGAAGGCCATCTCTCGAGTGGCATCCGAATTGAAGGAGGCGGGTGGGTCGTCAGTGAGAGGGTGACATGGAGGAGATCGTGTGGCGAGGACGAGATGAGAGATTATTGGTAGTAGTGGACCCGGTGGAAGAGGACGGTAGAAAACAGAAGAAAGTGGCAATGTGCTGTTGAAGCCCTATGTTCCACTCGGAATCCAAGGGGATTAATAATAATAATAAATAATAATAATAATAATAATAATAATAATAATAATAAAAGTATAATTTTGATAGAAGATCGAACAACACAAGATGCAATACATCTTACAGGTGTAGATTGTCCACGAGACGATAACTACTACAATTCAAAGTTTTTCGATTAACCTAAGTAAAACGGTACTATTCTATGCTATGTTAGTCGGCAAAAACATTTTGATCCACGTGTACAGGGCACTTTGTGCTTCCACAGTTCAAAGGTAAAATGCTCGTCAGCTACGCAAAACGTCCAAGGTTAGACACCCAGCCGACGCACTACTGAACCTTGTATAACCAGTGGTACGCCCGGGAAAGGTGGAGGTTTAGATGTGAGATCAGCAACCCCACAAAAACAACAATACCGCTACAGAAACATCAGAGCATAACGCCCCGTGATATACTCGCAACACAAGGAATGAAAATAATAGCATGTTGGAGCTAATCATGAAGACGCATCTGTAGTGGTGAAAAAACTAATATCTCCTTCATGAATATTATTAGTGGTAGGAGTATGCAGATCAGTTACTGGTCAAATGTAATCAACAAAGTGACACATGAATTATCATGTTAGAATGTAGATGTGTAATTTATAAACTTACTTGTGGACTATAGAAAATAAATACATCATTACCACCGCGTCTATCTTCTGATGGCAGTTCAAAACGTTTACCCCATTGACCTTGTTCTACACTCAGTTTATACTGAGCTTCCAATAGATCACATATGCGCTCGGAAAAAGGCAATACACGTGATTCACCCTGAGGTCTGAAACAAGGAATCAAATCTTTCTTATGAGAAATAATTAATACAACTGAGCACATGATTAAGATTGAAATAAGTAGAAAATAGAAACAAGAGATGGCGATCATGGCTGAAGGTGGCGCCAGCTATTGCGAATCGGAAGAAATTAGAATTCAAGGGAATGGCCATTAGACTTCCGACACAGTGGTTCATTGGTCAACAGGCTGGCCCCGTAACCTGAAGTTCCTGAGCTCGGTCATGGATACATACTACCGGAAAGTAGCAAACTAGTAGGAAATAACTAACCAGTCCTCCACGCTTTTTAATGGTTCTCCATCTAATATAAGTTCATGATCTAGCTTGAAAACAAACCTTTGCAAACCAACGACTGAAAATGATGGAATCCATTTGATTGGTTATTTCTTATATTTCCTCTGAAGATTACTTTGTGTCAGGTTTCTTATGGCATCAGTTACCCGGTTCACATTTCTCATGTAACAGGTTGAAAGCTACAAACATCGATGGCTGATGCCACCACCCAGTGCCCTAGGTTGAAGTACGTGAAGCGGCGCGTTCGAGACCAACACCTGTCAGACGAAGATCGAGTTTTTGAGCCAATGGGCTACATCTACACACAAGTTTTCATGATGATGCTGCACTTCTCAGTCTCAAAGAGGCGAGGAAAAGTCTAGAACTGACTCCTAGATTCAAAATCAAATGATTTAAGTCAATAGGACACGGCTTAGCAATGAACCAAATGCCTCTCTAAAATTCATGAATTATGTGAAATTTTTCTGCGCAAAAACCCGAATCAGTAAATAGACATTTTAAAGTTGTCCAATAACAGCAGGTAACCATTCAATCTACTGGTAGCGTTGTAATGGAAAAGATTTTCTGCACAACAGTACAACGTAGTAATGAAATAAAATACAGAATAATTTTCACAAGTGATAGATGAAAATGTAATGCAGGACAACTTTTATCCTACTCGATAAGGATGAGTAATATTTTGTAGTTACGATAATTCGTTCCTTGCATTCCGAGTGATGAAACAGATAACCTCAGCAGAACACCTTCATTGCACTTGGTCCTGTATCGTCGCTTTTAGTTGGCTCCACAACTGTCCACAAGTTTTCATCCCCCCTTCACATAATCTCCTCCATGTTAATCCCGTACGCTTAACCCGCTGCTTCCCACTCAGGTTCTACTCAACAGTCTTATCAATGAATGTTAAATGCACCTCCATTTTCATCTGGATATTTGTTGAGCGATATGTTTTTGGCTGGCTATTTATCAGAGTTCGTTAATGCTTGCTTATCGTTTCCAGTTGGCCATCAGATCTTCAGTGGCGGGTGAAGGCAGTTGTTGATGAAAGTATCCAGGTAGGCCGTCTTCAGCTATCTCTTATATATCCTGAAGTATTAAGATAGATGATTACTGGTTAGAATACTGTGATGTTCTGCATTCCCTGACAACTTCAATCATCATCCGTTTTTGTAGGTGTTTAGCTACATTCTACTTATAAGTAGCTAAATTCCTTATGTTTAAATTTCCAGAAAAGTGTATTCTTGTCTGTTAGGGTGGACCTTCAAGCAACATCATATACCATTCCCCTGAGTGGATCCCGGATGAGAAAAGATGGGTCGAGCTTCTGGTGACAACACTGAGATCATGTGAAAAGGAAATGAGGGCTTGTATACAGTCCTTCATGGAGCCAGGTGAAAGTGGTGGCACAGAACCGAGTGTAGTGGAAATGTGCTGACACAAGGAATGAACATTTATAATATTCTGTTCGGTTCAAATGTGAATAAAAACGTAAGCAGGCTATGCACCATAAAAACACATAAATGTGTTCACCATTATAATGGACATTAATGCTTACTTATAAAACCATGTAGCTCTTCGAACTTCACTTGGCTGTTCTTCCCAATAAACTGATCGTCGTTCCCTTTTCTTCACGTAAACATCATACCGACCTCCATCAACTTGAACAATTATTTCTTGATTTTCATTCGTTCCAGATGTAGAAGACAAATCATCAGCATTTGATGTAGACGATAAACAATAAGAACGAAAGAATTCTGTTTCGATTTGATAAGAATCATGACGTGAGAATGGCCACCATATAGATATATTATCAAAGATTGTAGAGTAGAACCAATATCCTCCAACTGGATGATATGCGGCTGGAAGGTGCATATATTAGATAGAAAATATTATTATGCATGCAGACTATTCGTAGTTAAAACATGAAAGTTGCATTCAACCTGACAAAGCATGCAGGAGGGTAGTGGACAGTCAAATGTGATTTAAAAGACTCCTTGAATTAAGTAAGAGGCTATCAAAACGGTTGTTGACTTCATGTGATACTGTTGGCATTATATCACACACTTAGATGCGTCATATTTTAAAACAGAGTACAGTACACATAACTTGTGTGAATATTAATCATTAAAATGTGTTTACATTTGGCCACAGTAATAATAACTTTGTGACAACTGTACTATGAAAGGATGAATGGTAGACAGATAGATAGATAGAATGCAACCATCTCAGATAATCATATATTTACAGACACTGAGATTAGAGAGATCGTCTTGGATTCTCGACGACATTTGTTCCAAGAGGTCTCAATATTCCAGCATTAGTTTCGGAAATATGTAAGTGTATGTAGCATAGGTCACGTTCTCCCGAGCATATTCATTTCTCATTAAGCTACGACTTAAGCACAACCCACTGCAGTAACACCAGACTTGGTCGTAACCAGTTGAAGTTCAAACCTAACTAATTTACCCTTGGCAACTGGGCAGTATCATCAATAAGTACGGCTCGTAGCCTGGTACAATAAAGACCTGTTTCGTGAAATGAATTTAAACACAAATTTGGAGATGTTTATCGCTTCAGAAGACGATTGTGTGTTGGTTGGTTGAACTGACGACGGACACCAAAAGACCTAGCAGGAGAAGTAGACAAAATACACATCTTTAAAATAACTTACATCAACCGAAACGAATCTAATGTTCATCTTCACATTCATGAAAACACACCAGTAGCTAAATAACATGACAAGCATTCATTCATGTCAATTCATATGGAAATCTACGAGCATTATTCCAACTGGGTTGGAATATAATGTAAAAATCTTAGACAGACGAAACACAAAGAAAGAGAAAGAATTACCAAATCAATGTGCGAATAATGTATATGTTGATGTAGACTGACTGACTGGATTTCAACACAGAACTGTGAAAAAAAGTAAAGCACCTCAAGTTACCACACTTCATAAGTACACTATTGTAGAGTAAAAAATGCAAAGGAACTTCAATGGACGGAAACGTACAAGAAAAACAATACGTAAGTGGCGAGAGATGAGAATGTAATGGGAGAATATAAAGAGTGAATGTATCCGCGCCATGTAACCAACAGTTGGTTCTTTATGTGTTGAGGACTCCAGCCAGGCAACCAAATACAGTCACCGCAAACAACGAATGATTCGTCCATAGAGAATTCCTAAAGCTGAAGCTGTTGCCCAGAAGGACAATGAGGTCTTCGTGATTAAACCACCCAGTCCAGACAACACAACAATACCAAAATCTCCCTTTATCACTCTGTTATATTTACCTATATGAATCTTTTTTCTGTCACTTACAACTCTTATAATCAGCACCAAAATAGAACTAGGGAAGTAAGTTGGTGATTTAATAATTTGAGTATTGATTACCAAAACTACCACCAATATTTCAGTTATTATTGATCTAATCACAAAAGTAATGATAATTAAATAAATTATAATAGAATGAAAACCAGGTGTAAGTAAGGCACATGAGTTTATTTTAGAAAAAACGTATAAAATAATTCCGCTCAGTGTACATGGGACACTTGAATAGAGACATATACCACAAAGCGTATAAACTGTCTTGTTATATAAAGTAAAAAGGCAAATTTCTCTTTCATTTAAGCGGATTAAACCCAATAAAAGTCAACAAAAACGTAATATTCACCAAAGCCAGAAGATTATGTGGGTGCAAACGCAAAAGCACAGAAATATCACACACACACACACAATGACAGGGATATAAAACAACTTTTTTTAAAATACTACTCATTTTGAAGTCAGCACTGAAGATGTTGTCCAGGAAGACAATGAAAGCTTCGCAATAAAACCTCCCGGCTCAGAGGACACAACCACACCAATATCAAGAACCCGAGTCACAAATCTCTATTATTTCTGAATTATTCTTCTATTTGCGCAACTACTAAGATTGTGTTACTTATACATGCCTAAAGATAGTAAAGTAGCTTCACTGACTCTGATAAAATAAATGTGACTTATTGACAACTGCATGGAAATGCGTATGATTGCTAAGTAGCATTTCATTCTACAAAACATACTGACGAATTAAATCAGAACGAAGAAATTAGCATAGGAATGTAACAATTAAATTTACTATATTTGAACAAAAACGCCAACAGAAGGCTAAAATGGTTTACACAAACAATTAAAATAGCTGATACTGTGAAGGACACAAATCAGTTGGTAGACCCCTATCAAGGAGAAGCCTTTTATATAACAGGCTATGTGCCACACTTATTGTGAGAAGGCTGATGATACTGTAACGATAGAAGACAAGAGGCAGGCAACAGATCGTTTATTGAGAAAATGTACATTATTGTCAGTGGAGGAGCAACGTTTTCTGATTGGTTGTTTTTTTGTTGAAGGTTATTCTGTACTGCCTGTGACCGTTCCTCAGAAAGTTGAGCCATATATCTGCGAATCCCATTCGCACATGTTAAGTCTTCTGTGATTGGTTGGTGAGTTACTCAAGGTTAAGCCCTGTTATTGTTTTTCTCATGATCCCGATTCGTGACGTAACATTGACGTAAATTGCTGTCTACAATTTTGGCCTGCAGTCAGCTCTCACCACAATACTACCTAGTAGACAAGGATGAAGTAGGGGGAGCGGGATTTGGAAATTGACCCAAATGATGGAAAGACGGGTACTTAAGCAACGTCTCCATACAACAGGTAAAGTCAAACAAAGAAAAAGACATGAGAACATAATGAACAAGGTAAATTCCGTTATTCATAACATCTCGCAAGTAATTAGTCAACATTTACCGACTAAAGTGAGTCCAATACAATGTACAATTGCCTGTTGATTTCGGTTGCTTAACACCAACTGAATTTTAGCGTGTTGGTGACAATATGTAAAATTGATTGGTCGAATTCGATTAGGAGACTAGAAAAAATGTAACATCGTCTACCGACTAACATACTGAATTACTCGTCGAAGAGCTCACTAGCTGTTTTTAGCTACGACAGTGAGTTCAAGGGCTTAGATGTCTGAAGAGAAAATAGTTAACTAGAGGTTACAAATGTGCTTTGTTGACAAATATGACATCCATATCACAAAGTCTTGCCAAGTAACTACAACCCAATATGTAATGACTTCGTTTGACTACTTCACCGAACAATATTATTAGAGTGAGCTGATAACTGACTGAGTTTCAACGCAGAACTTTTCAAAAAAGTGCAACAGTTCAAGTTACCAAACCCCATACAGAATACAAAGATAATGAAAGAGATTTAACGGAAAGATAATGAGTAGGAATGTAAGAGAGACTAATTGCAAACCGAATAATGAGGATTTAATGGCTTTAGGAGACTAAAGGGAGAGAACAAATCAGTGCCATTGATAATGATTTTGAGTCATATCACCAACAGTCTCAAGTCATCGGTCTTACCACCTTGTGGACCGGAGCCACATTGTCTACACCACTCTACGCGGCTCCAACCAGTAGTCGAAAGTATCATGGATTGATGCCAGGTTTTTGGTTTGGCCACTATGAATCTTTTTCCAACTTAATTATACGTCAGCTGGCATCGCTGCACGAGGAAAGTGATTACTCAGCATGTGTAACGCATTCCCTATGCATCTCAGTCCATGCAGCTTCATAACCTCATTGACTATCTCTTCTTACCTAATACTACACCTAACTTCGATATTAGCGTATTATACCACTTAACACAGAAAACCAGAACGCATACACCTGTGTTCGAAGAAAGCTAGCCTCTTCAGGACTTCCACTTTCAATGGCCATGTCTCGGCCACAAACAACAATAGAGAGCACTGTTGAGCAGTACATATGTCTTTTGATTGATAACCGGATATGAAGTCTACGCCAAAGATAACGTAATTTAGTAAACACCGCACAATTCCTTTGTATCCGTACTAAAGTCTCGTCAGCAATCAGTCTGTAAGAGCTGGTATAACTTCCCAAATAAGTGAAGTGGTCAACATGCTCTACCATTTCTCTCCCTATCTTCAAACTAAAAGTAAATGCACACTAGCCCTGCAGCTTGATCTTACATTTGACAGAGAGGAATCATGAGTATACGCCAAGTCAAGAAGACTATGCCCTGGCAACAAATTAATCACTGGGTTACTAAAGCTGACTAGGGGGTCACAACCAGTTCATTTATGATGAGCTTAAACAAAAATGGCAACAACAGACACCATCGATTACCATTTATTTGGATGACAACTCTCTGTAAGCTCTTACACGGCTACTTGAGTTTGCGTCGATTGCCTCGATTAGTGCGACATACTTTCTTGGCGTTCCCTTCACGTCCAAACACTATTACAGTACCTTTTGGTCAAATGCTGCCTATAGGTTAGGAAACATGGCAACTGTTGGATACCAGTAAGTATTACTATGATAAAGAATCTGTTGAAAGGTGAAGACATGATCAATACACCCTCTTCCTGGCTTAAAATCTGACTGGTTCCCAAGGGTCTTTTTCTCCCAAGCATTGCTCAGTCTACGCAGGATTATTGAACCTACACCTTTAGATACCCTGTTAGTCAGAGTATTTCCCTAGTGATTATTACAGGAAGACTTATAAACTGGGGTAATCAATGACCTTCTGTCTCAGAGATATGAAATACATTTAAAGTCCGAGAAGCTAGGGCCTTAGCTTATTGCCAAAATCGTATAAATGTAAGTGACTACCTTATTATTCACTTCCCCAGAGTGGGAAGACAGAACAGACGACTTGTGGGTTGTCCAACAGATGCACTTTACTCCTTACACCCTGAGTAACCAACAACACGACTTCCCCAACAACAGTGTAATGGATTTACACTACACTTAAAGCTTGTAGTAGGTGGTTCATTGGCTTCGGCACTCAACTTGAAACCAGTGGGCTCCAGGTTCCACTTCACTTCACGCTTGCAACTGAGTATTGTCAGCCTTCACACCAAAAGTGCTGGCCTTAGCCTGGTACATGAGAAATCTATTCCAGATAACGAATTTAAAACACAAAAAGTTTCTACGGCATAAACATTCATCTGAAATGCATGTGATACATACGTAAGTATACTCACCTGTCGGCATGGAAGACGATATTATTGATGTTGGATTAGCTACTTGAGAATAAGATTGTGTAACCTGGTCTGTTCCCGATGGCAAAGAAGTATAAGCAGTTTTTATATCATCTGATGGATTGCTTGGAATTAACAGGGAAGACATTTGATTCGGTTCGGGAGCTGGAGGTATAGGTGGAAATGGATTGCATGGCATGTGGGGAATGTTTGTTGCTGTTGAAGTTCTAGAAGTAACAGTGCTGATATCTGGTGGTAAGACATAACGAGGTCGTTGACCCGATTTGACTGCCATAGGACCCGAGGGTTTGGGCTTTATTTCAAATATGAAGTCAGAAAATTACAAACATAGAACACGTTCATAGGCTGATTGACTAACAATCTGTATAAAGTCTACTATACAAAGACAGATTTCCCAACGAATCAAAAAGAAAAAGATGTTCTTGCAGATGTTTTACTATTTAATGCTGACAGCTTTATCAAAGTAACAGTAAACCATAATTTATAAATCCCAAGTTGTATACTTTAACTTAATAATAGTTCTTTTCTATGAGGTAATTCTACGTTGTCAGTTGGAAGAATTGCTAAAGATAACAAACCACGTGCAGATGGATGGAGTTGATAAGCGTATAAGTTATAGAATAGCATGTTTCTGAGTAATAGAGAATGCTTAACACACTTGTGTTGACTACGGTCTGAACTGTCTTAACCTGTCAATCCAATTCAAAACATTTGGATTCTATTTTATGTTAAATGCTTTTACTATGAGACATTAAATCTGTCGCCACATACATTCTTTATTTCTAATAGACAATATGCCTTCTGGTTTGTGTAACTTTTCAATACTGTTCATTTTTGGGTCACGCTTTAGTGATTGTTAAAGTGGCATTAGCTGAATAAATTTATTGAAGGCCACAGATAATTAAGTGTGCATAAAACAATTAGATCCAATAAATGTCGCATCGTCCATTTGAAGAACTTCATCATTCCCCTTTAGACTAGATAGTGGGCATGATGATTTTTAAGTGCTTTTAGAGTGAAACGACATGATAGCTTGAGTGTTTATCAGACAGGACGAATGGATTCCTGATGTTTTAGTCTAGCTATCAATGTTATACATGTCCAAACCAAGTTAACTTTTAACAGTTTGAAAAAATTTGAGCATTAAGTATATCATATTCATTATAATAAAGTTTTTTGTATTTCCCAATGCATGAAAAACAAAACGGTATTGTTTTTACTGACGTTTCACTATTTAGTGCTAGGAATTTTATCAAATTATTATTAATCCAGAATTTACAAAGTCTCAGCTTATATATAACAACTTAATCATCGTTCCTCAGCATGAGGTTATTTTTCATTGTCAAATTAGCCGATTGGTAAAGATAACAAAACGATGTGTAGATTGTTGGATTTAGTAAGTGTCTAAAATTATAACAGCAGCGTGTGTTCACGGGGGAGCTTATCTTTTACACAGATGGAGAACAACTTGCGGTTGGTGAACGTCATTTGTAATTTTGCTGCAAAGAACGTCTTACTGACAACTGCATTAGAGAGACGGTTTTTGAGCATATCTGAAGCTTGATCACCTTTGAATTCTAAGTTCATGAATAAGGTTTTCTTTGGAACTGAGTCAGTGACCAGTTTAGACTGCTTATCTTTGTATGGACTACCGAAAATTCACAAGATAGGATTACCCCTCCGTCCAATTCTCGATATGGCGGGTTCTCCTTATCACAGGATTGCTCAGTGGCTAGCTGAAATACTGGAATCAGTTAAAAGGCAATTATCCAAGTTTTCCATTTATGATACATTTAAATTTATTGATAGTATTAGAGATTTTAATGTCTCAGAGAAAGTCATGTTCTCGTTAGATGTGACTTCGCTATTTACCAATGTACCTCTCATGGAAACTGCTATATATGTGATTATATTGATACACATAGTTTAGAAATAGGGTTGCCGTCAATTCACCTCAAAGAATTTTTATGGAGATGCACGTTGAATGTTCAGTTCACCTTTAATAATGAGATTTCTAGACAGAGAGATGGCATTGCCATGGGATCACCATTGGGTCCTTTGCTGGCTGATTGTTTTATGGCAAAGCTTGAAAATTCTCAACTTAGTCAAACCATCGATCATTTAGACATCTACAAAAGATACGTAGACAACACTTTCGTTATCTGCAATAATAACGTAATTGTTGATGATGTCTTGTTTGCTTTCAAAAATTGTCATCCTTATTTACAATTCACCATAGAAAAGGAACCTGAACTAAGTATTCCGTTTCTTGATGTGTGCCTTAGTATACGTAATGAGAGATCTCTCAAAAGATCTATCCACCGGGAACGTACATGGAACGGATAACTAACTAATTTTTATAGTCGGGTGCCTATCTCCAGGAAAAGGAACCTAACTCATTCAATCTGCTTAAGGATAAGACACATTTGTACTTCTGATTGCGTTGACTCAGAACTTGACTTCCTAAAAGCCACTCTTGCAGTAGACGGCTACTCGAACCGATTTATTGACAGTAACACGAAAGATAAGCAGTCTAAACTGGTCACTGACTCAGTTCCAAAGAAAACCTTATTCATGAACTTAGAATTCAAAGGTGATCAAGCTTCAGATATGCTCAAAAACCGTCTCTCTAATGCAGTTGTCAGTAAGACGTTCTTTGCAGCAAAATTACAAATGACGTTCACCAACCGCAAGTTGTTCTCCATCTGTGTAAAAGATAAGCTCCCATGTCTGGCCGCCTCCATGTGCATCTATCAGTTCACCTGCTCTTGGGGAGTAAGGTACATTGGCCGTAGTCAGAGAGCGCTTTCCACACGGATACGAGAACGTATTCCAGCATGGTTTTACGAGGGAGAAAGGAAGTGTGTGCGAAGGTCTATTCTAGAACACCTGATCGACTCCTGTCACTCTGCCAACCCTGACCATGATTTTAAGATCATCTGCCGAATCCATGCTATTATGCTGCGTTTTCTTCGTTACAGACTTCTAAAGACAGCGGAGGCCTTGGCAATTCACGACTTTAAGCCAGACCTTTGTGTACAAAAGAAGTATATACAATCCCTACATCTGCCTTGGCCGTGGAGGATAGACATTTATTTATTTTGTTTATTTAGTTATTCTATGTACCTTTCCCCTATTACTACGGTTATTATTATTATTATTATTACTATTCTCACTCTGAATTATTTCCACTTGTCATTCTTAATCCGAAATCATTAATTTTTCTAAATATTTTTTTACTTTTACAATACTGAATTCTATCTTATCAAATTTCACACCATGTTATGTAACATTTTATATTCGCCTACTAATCCTATAACTATACACCCCTCTCCAACATATATACACCTTATGTATTATTCTATATATGACATTGATTGTTTTGCTACTTGACATCTGACCATGATTATAATCACAAATATTTTGATTGCATTCCATACCATTATTATTATTATTTCATGTATTCACACCTTTGACCAAATTCCTTCACCGAATATAATTTCTTAAAAACCATATATATACGATTGCACAGCTTGATAATAAATTCGTTGAAGAGTCTCTTCGCCGAATATTATGTTCTTAATGCTACAATCGGAATGATTAAATTATTGAAAGTATTATTAAACCACAATTTACAAAATCTCAGCTTATATATAACAACTCTGCAAGTAATCGTTTCTTAGCATGAGGTCATTTTTCGTTGTCAAATTGGCCAATTGGTAAAGGTAACAAAACTACGTACAGATTGTTCGATTCGACAAGGATGTGAAATTATAAAATGAGCGTGTGTTTACATAATGAAATTGCTTATCACAATCGTGTTGATTTTGTCACTTCATGGGTGAGAGAGGTGTTGTAACCAGGTCAAATTCTGTTTTAGTCCATCATTCCTATTCACACAATTTGGATTCCACTTGATATGAAGTGCTTCTGATGCTAAACGTTCTTTGTGATTTCTGAAATTTTTCAGTATGTGAACACACGCTGCTTTTATAATTTTAGACACTTACCAAATCCAACAATCTACACATCGTTTTGTTATCTTTACCAATCGGCTAATTTGACAATGAAAAATAACCTCATGCTGAGGAACGATGATTAAGTTGTTGTATATAAGCTGAGACTTTGTAAATTCTGGATTAATAATAATTTGATAAAATTCCTAGCACTAAATAGCGAAACGTCAGTAAAAACAATATCGTTTTGTTTTTCATGCATAGGGAAATAGAAAGAAACCTTTATTATAGTTATCAATGGTTCACTTCGCGAAATCCGGAACTGATATTTCCATGGGTTATATCAGATGGAATTTTACAACTTAATAGCTTTCGCACCTCAATATTGATTATTATTTAAACGAAAACTTATTACAGTGTAGGCACCGAGATGCGTCATAAAAAACAATTAGACAATTCATGGGAAAGAAATAGAATGGATTATGAGTAGAATTATGAAAAGCAGACAAGTATACTTATCAAGAGCGTCCAAGGAGTATTTATCATCTCACGTTAATTTAAGAAATTGAGGATGCACCAACGGATGCTAACCTAATAAAACTATACTTTATCCCACAGCGCCATATTATCATGTATGTAGTAGTTCTAGTGGTTCACCTGCTCGGATGACTGCAGGTGCAGGTTCCTGTCAATCTTGCGATAACACATTCCACTTAGGTGGTGCAAATCACACACCACACTTACAGATACCGATTGCTATCTGATTAAGTGAGATCCGGGCAGTCTGCATGTTATCGCACAATAACATAATCTGCACACTTAGAACTAAGAGGTTTTGAAATGTTACCTGATAACCAACTGCGATTCTATGCAGTTGGCAATGAGCTGTACTTATTGTGTTAGGTCTAGTGATACCATCTAGATACCCAGACCCCGGTAGGTGGAGTGGGATTTGAACACACGACCCAGTAGCTTAACTCAAGCGCCTAGACCAACAGATCACAGCTTCACACTGGTAGATCTACAGCAGTAGGCACACCCTTCATAGATGCCTCTAGAACGCCAACGTCCACATTTCACCTTACAGTTATTGCAGAATTAAAGAAAAATACTTGGATGACTTCTTGAAGTCAGTAGTCAACCCATCGATGCGGTGATCATTCGAATAATAAAATCGATAAAATAACATGGCTTTTCAGAAATATAGTGACTACACACTCTAACACTTGTAAATAAATAGCTGATAAATTATATAAAAATCCTGATTTGTTGATTGAAACTATTTTATGATTTTAAGCTTTCATATATGCAAGCGGCGACTGACAGTTTGGAAAAAGTACAGTTGAGTTGGTAGTTTGGAACGTAGGACAAAATTTACACAAGGCATACAAGTAGTCCATCTATCCTCATTCAGAAATATATTCTTTATTCTTTTTTTAACTACAGAAAGCAGACAAATTCTGTCTCTGTTTTATTTTGATTTTAGGTCAGAGTTTACACTAAGCTTGGATACTAAGTGGAAAAAAATTAAAATACGACCTAGTGGACAGAATTTGAACACTACGGTGTTTCCTATATGAATTACACACTAAGCGTTTAATTCAAAATCATTTCAAGTATTTAAATTTATCTTAAATTTACATGAACTTAGCAAAGCATGAAAGCTAACCTCATTATCAAAGTTTAACGATGACAACTTGGTTGAAATTACTTTTCATAACTCTTATAATTACATATCAGTTGATTGTGACACTTTAAACCCTTTCGAAATGAGCCCGTCTGGATACTGATCTAATACTTTTTGTGTGAATGATAATGGAAATACTATGTTAGGAACGGCCATGATCTACAGTAACCTGCTCTCCCTTAAACTTGATAATGTTAAGAATGGACAGATGAAAACATTGAGTCACTAACTGCTAAGATGAATCACATACGAGCAAGCATTCAGCTTAGGCACTCGAAATTAAAATGGAATTAACGACATCGTCTGATGATTATCACAGCCTATTAGGCTTATTCATCTAATACTTTTACTAGAATTTATGCACTTCACCACTGTTAATCCTACGTGCTTTTCTTAAGCTCTTTTCGCCATTTTCATTTGGATTTCTGACTTTTCTATACATACCTTCGTGGATTAAAATCTCCCAATTTCACAAATCGTGTTGTCGTATGATGAACTGAATTGACTAATTCATGTGACACTATTACTAGAGTTACTTCTGGAATCACATTTCTACACAAGCAGTATTCAAGGCACTATATATTCTTCTGCTTCTTCAGGAGCTTCGTAAATATCGACCTACGTTAATTCAAATTTGGTTGTACTATGCCAGTGCGCTTTATACCTGAGTGTACAAGTAAAAAAGTTCCGGTGCAATATCGGTTCACTCCAAAAGTGTATAGCTTGTTCGCGCAGTAACACATGCACACAGGAATAAATGTAAATACGGTATAAGGAAACCGGAAGTTAGTTTATGATAGATCTGCACAGAAAAATCATCGCAATCTAAAAAACAGAACGATGTTAGACTTTAAGAACCAGTAAGTACCAACGGACAATTGATCTTGAACGCACCTATCATGTGATAAAGGCTATTTTTACGCATAAGATATATGCATTCATGAAAATAATGAATTTAAAAGTATAAAAATGTTACACAGGATATCTTTGTCGGACGTGCGACAAGAAAACCTTTCAGTTCTGGATTAGTATCAAAAGAGCAATTTTATCACATGTTATACATGTACTTATCTAGGTCTTCTAACACTAACAATAACCATAATCGTTCCCTAAACTAACCCTAGCGTGAAAATATCGCTAAACTAACCGTAATCTAACTCGAAACAGCCGTGATGCCTCCCTTATTAGTCTAACCTAATCTTAACCTGTCATTAGTCTAAGCCTCAACTTCATATTTCCCAAAGCTAGTCTGTAACTTACCAGATATCTTGTTTCATATCACAACACTGCAGTATGCATATTATATTGATGATCAAAATATTATTTGCCAGGATTTACTAACTTGCTCAGTGAGCATTTCAGGGTCACTGGTGCGTCGCACTCCCTAGGTATCTGCTAGTACTTTAAATTTAACTTCACCAAAAACATGCACCTGAGATCCGAAACCACGATAAAACCACGGGCTGGATAAACAGAGGAACCCATCACCTCAATTATTTAACAATTTACAGGATTTACTTACTAAGGCAAGAGGGGGGGACTTCGTGTCTTCCGTATGAACATTGTCTGAAGACATCAAATTCACACCAGGTAACCTTTCACCATAGCCTGAGACAAATCCTTTTGCTTGATTTTCATTCTCTCCAACAAATGAGGCTAATTCTTCAGACTTGACAGGTGAAATAATCTGTGGAACAAGTGTTGGACCGATCGGCAACGATGCTTGAGACAGGTTGAGTGTCAGGCCTGATAAGTTGTGAGTATTATTTTTCGGATTAGACTGTTTTTCGCAGTTCATTTCTAAAGAGTCACACCTAAATAATACCGTATCACAATTCTGGCTTCAAATAAACATTCGGCCCTGCCAAGTTAAAACTGCCAACGTAGGTTGACGTCAATTTGAACTGTTGGTCAAGCTCAAGGTTATCCGGATCATAACCTAGCGCCTATTTTAAAAGTTTTCTAGTTCCGTTTTACAATTCTCTCTTATATGTGCCTGTTTATCTTCTCCATCTCTTTTTATTCCTCCTGATTTCTTTTCTCGCAGGCTTTTTTCTCTGGGGGGTAGTTCTGTGGACACAAAATGAGCTGGAGTTCTCAATACGTGGTATTGTGAAGAAATTAAGGACTTCTTAAAACCGAGAGAAATTCTTTGAGTATGCTTGAAGGACTGAGTGATGTTCCACCAAACTTTCAAAGTCTATCTCTCACATGCAACAACCTCCATTTTCTCCTACATATTTGTTGTACAATCGGCTATTGGTTGGTTTGTTCCCAGCCAGAGTTTCTTGTTGCTAATTCTTCCTGGCTGATCAGCCATCTGATGTTCAGTATGGAGCCAGCGACGGTGGCAGCTGTTGATAAGAGTCTGCAACTGGCTGTTGGAAATGCTTTTCATGACACGCAGTGCAATTTTCTGAGCAGAATAGAAGAACTGACTGACTGACTGATTTCACATTGGTGGTGAGAATCCGAATCTTGTTCTCTAAGCTGAGGCAGAGTGCAGAAGATTTCCAAACTGGTTTCAGATTGATGAAGGCGTATCTTGCTATTTTGATTCTGGCACTGTACTTGCAACAATCATGAGAACCACCTACATTTGTTAGCCTAGCAGTCAGCTAAGCAGCATTGGCACAATATTATTGCACTAGAGATACTTTTTATTAATTGAATCCATATAACGCATATAACATTGCACCAGTCAGTACAAATATATATACTGAATCCACTTAGAGATAACCTTCCAACTTACGACAATTCTTGTCCAAACACATATACGGTGAAAAAACATCTACATTATCACTTCTGTACCTACATAAGGTTCTGTTAGCATTTGTAGGTGATTTCCATGTACTGACTGCATTTTTGTCAAATAATAGTGTTTTTCACACGAAAATGGGCTGCGCTGATCTCCTGAAACGTTCTGGTTCTACATAAAGTGGATTATTCGCGTAGATGACATTACTCGGCAACAGCAAAAATAGACACCAAAACCAAATGACCCTAAATCAACAAATAAGACTGCCAGGCATTACACATGGTTGGTGTTCATAATTTTCACTGCAAGTTTCTCATAGACTGAAAACATTTATTTTGCGATACGAATTTGAAGCAAGCAACAAAGGTTAATGAAGCAGGATTTCATGAATCAATCAAATTTTGGTAGAACTCGTCAGCTGAATTCTCTGCATACACGGATTCATTTCGTTATGATACATTTCAGTTTGTCAAGAAAGTTAAAGATTTCAACGTATCTGATAATCATCTGGTCTCTGTCGATGTTACCTCCCTCTACACAAATGTGTCATTCATTGAGACTATTGACTTCATATGTAGAGAAGCTGAAGACATACCCATTCCCAAATGGGAATTGAGGAAATTGTTACTTTTATGTACTGAGAATGTCCAATTCCATTTGGACTAGGGTGGCACATGCTGACCAGTAGATATGGTGGTGGACACCAAGGTGAATCGCCCCATACTGCAGGAACAGCAATATGCAATTTGAAGGCTCGAGATTTCTATGAGGGCTTGAATCTTTATCTTGAAAAAGATAATAATGATCGCCTAGACAGATTATGCTTCTACCTTTAAACATATACCATTCGGTCAACCTATTGCTGAGATGCGACCACGTGGGCTCTGCACAGATTTGACACAGATTAACATGCTTTCCTTTGTCGTATCTTCGAATATCACTTAACAATGTCTCATCTCATTCATTTTCTAATTACGTCTTCACTTGCTCATTATATTCCACTAAACCTAACATTTTATAGCTCTTTATGAATTTGATTCGACTTATTTTATTCCTATTCTCTATGGGGTACGGTTGTGCACCAAATACACAAAAAGGTATGAAATAAAAACAACCGGCTTGTGGATAATTGTATTAAAACCAAAAGTGGACATCACGATAGTAAGACCTATATAGATAGCATTATACATTGCAAATGAACTTTGTCAGCCTAGGGATTATAGTCTCCCATTGTATTTCCTTTATGAATGCATCTATTAATGATACATTGCACTTGCCTATTTCATTACACTTTAATTATTCACCTTAGCACCTATACTTTTCTAAAACAGCTTACTATCCCTTGTAAACGTTGTACTTACCTCAATATTGGTTGGTTATCGTATGCCTACAACTACGGGTTGAAAACGAAACGAAGTCGAAATTCCCGCGCAACCTGGAGGACTACTGTTCATTTCGATAATGATACGGCCTGGGTCAGACAATGAGTGTATTTATATATATATCAAATATTTAGCTGTTCAAACATTAACTTGTAGACAATCTACTATTTGACATTATATCATACTTGATCGTGCCTGTAAAAATGGCATGCATTTTCATGTAAATTTATGTTTATATGAAAATATAAATTATTATTATTAGTGACTATTCCATCAAGTTGATGGTGTCACAATGGGAAGCCTCTTAGGACCACTTTTTGCAGACTTATTTTTGTCAGGCCAGTACCTTGCAGCAACATATACAAAAACAGGCGTATACCTAAGATATTTTGATGACAATTTTATTGTCTGTGGAAGCAGATGAAAAGCTGAAGACATGTTAATAAACTTCAACTCATGCCCCCCGAATCTCAATTCCACGACAGAACACGAGGAAAACAATACTATTGAATTGCTAGATGTTTTTCTAGCGAAAATGATGGGTGGCACATCAGAAGATCTATATTTGGAAAGTCTTCACGGACAGGACAGTACATGCATTTCAAGAGCTTTGTTTCAATCCACTATACAAAGAACCTAGTCAGAACACTATTCAACAGAGCACGGAGAATTTGTTCTGACAGTACTGTTGGGCATGAGATAAAATCTCTGAAGGATATTTTATCTAAGAACGGATATCCTGAGAAGTTCATTAATAAATACTCTAAAGAAATTAGCCCCCGCAAAACAATCCAAACAGTTCCGAAGAAATCTGTCTATATCAGTTTGCCATTCAAAAGAGATGATGTACAGGAGGTAGTCAAACGAAGACTCAATAAAGCCATCAAGAGAACTTGTCAAGGAACTTAGCCCTAAGTTCCCATTCTAATGAAGACGTTTTCTTTTTGAACCGATAAATACTATGTATATATCTCAACTTTAAATCCAAAACACCAGTATTCCTTGAACGAAATTATATTGTTTGGCAATTAAAGCGAGACAAAATACGAAGTCTGCAAACAAATGTTAAGTACAAATGAAGTTATAAGGTACTTTTATTCGTGTTCTTTCCACCTTCTTCCAACTTGCAAGCGATCGTTCCATTCGCGCCTTCGAATTGCCCACCAATGGTTGTCAGTTCCAATAAAACAAACGTTCAGTGTTCACGTCCATTGACAGAACTTATTATGCTGCAAAACTTGTTATCCTTAGCACCACTAAGCCAGTGCTTCAACAATCTTGGAAAGACCACTCGCCAATCTTGGACACTTCAAACTACGTAAATCAATCTGAGTGTGTTTTTTGAAGCAAATACATAGGTCGTTCAGAAAGGCGATTGTCTACTAGCACGATGGAGCACTTGAAAACAGCTGAGTGCAGAGAGCCAAAAACCTCAATAGGAAGACATCTTGTGGACTTTGGACATGATATCGACGCTGTAAAGTCATTCACTATTGTCAGCAGACAAATAAACAGGAAGATGCTTGCAATTGTAGAGGCTTGTGCAATTCCAGTTTATAAATCAGGTCTCTGTGTGCAAAAGTAGATGGTCGTCACTCTGGTAATGCGTTTTATTTGTTATTCTACCTTTTATTATTATTGATTCATTTAAAACTATCTTCTATCAGCAGCATTATCTTAACTCACTTCAGCATTATTATTATTATAACTATCACTATTGATGATAATATTTTATTTAGATAAATTAAACATTTACATGACTGACATACCGTTTGTACAGGCATGATCATATTTGACAAGTGCAATTTGAAATAGAACACGGTTTTATGACATCAAAAATTGGAAAAATGGAAAGAAACTCTAGAAACTTTATAAGATTAAATTACAAGATATTGGTTTAAGTCTCAATTTTTATCTACAATGTACTTTTAGTCAGTCAACTTCATGCGGGAATTACGAGAGGTTGCGTTAATGGAAGGTAAGAAGAGAGTTGTTACATAGGATGCAGAGCCTGCGATCATTATCATTTGATCAATTTTTAAGGGTTCGAAAATTTATAAAACACCACAGTAGAGGGTAAGTACAGCATTATTTTGGTGTTAGCAGATACAACGGACCAACTCTGCGATGACAAACAGAATGGAATTTGTTCCGTTGCTCATCGTATGTGCTAAAAATATTCAGAATATCGTTCAAGTAATACAAACGTAGAAAGCAGCATTACTGTACATTTGCAGTGCTCCAATACAATACCTTCGAGAAGAGAAGAAAGAAGAAAACAGAAAGAGAGTTGCAGAGGCAGCCAGCGAACAATAATAATTTAAGCAAACAATATGCGATAACCACAGGATACATTCCTCTTTTTTATTACTAAGGATTTCTAGTCATTGAATTTTACAGTGTTACTTACTAACGGTTAGTTCAAGTTTATGGCAGTTAAAAAATGTAATAACAAAATAAAGTAAAAAATTAGGGAAAAACGAATATGATGATGTTCACACCTATATAAGGTAATGCTGGGAATAGAAACCGAAGAAGTTAAAACCAAACGCCAAAGTACATAAAATATGTAGAAGAAAAGAGAAAGTATAATAATATTTGTTTATTCTGTTGTTATGATTTATATAGTTAGATGTCCTCCTGAAGTAGAGAAATCTT